CCCCCCCCCCCCCCCCCACACTCTGCTTTTTTTTGTTTCCCTTTTTTGTCTTTTGTACAATTTTCCACTATCCAGCGCTTCACATCCTCGGCTCACAACAAAAACCATTCATCCTGCAGGTGAGAATGCATCCTGAAGTTGCCCTCTCTAAAGTTTGAAATCGTGCACGTGGAATTCATAAAAGTCAGCGATGGTGCAATCAGTGACAATGTAATAAGATGTCACACAACCGCACCTCAGCAGATCAATTTACGCTATTGATTTGTAAATCACATTGTCAATACATTATGAGGATTCCCCTTTCTTTTGTCTTTTAGTCGTTGGATATTATTGCTTTTAGAGATTCATCATAAAGGATGAATAGAATTAGATCATTTTTTTTACATTTAACAGAAATGACGGTTATGTGTTTGGTCGATTTTCACACCAGCTGAGCGTCAACATGTGTGTTGAGTCCTGGAGTCACAACAGACCACATGATACATACACACACACACACACACACACACACACACACACAGCCTGGTTTCCTCCTCTGTGTCCTACTGTCACTGCAGCTTTTCTATCAAACCTGAAGAACAAGCAACTAAAAGCAGTGTTTTTCCTGTTATTCTTGGGGTTATTATCATAACTGTAAATAGAGGCCTCTCTCTGGTTCACCCCAGCTGCACTCCCCCCCCCCCCTCCCCTCCCCCCACACACTCCGGGCTGCAGTGGCTGTCCAGAGAGAGAGAGAAGGAGGGAGAATGTGAACTAGACTCGCCCTCCCCGGGTCTCATTGGTTGATTCGCTTCCCAGCGGTTTTGTCCTTGAGAATGTGCAGACACGGGGCAGATAATGTTCTGACACCAGAAACTCTAGACCGGGACCAGATCAACACTTACTCCCTTTCTGCTTCTTCTTTTTCTCCTCCTCCTCCTCCTCCTCCTCCTGCTATTGTCACTCTATCCACCGGACATGCAGAGAAAGAACGACTGTGTTTGTTGATATTTATTTGTGTATTTATTTTTACGATTAATCTCACAGCTGTGAAGCAAATCTAATCCTGAATTTGATGTTTTTTTGTGCCGCATATTTGCACGCAGACACTCCTTACAGCGTGTTGACACGTGCCAATCATAAATCCCATTAATGTTAACCATGAAGAAAACCACACCTGCAGGCGCGCGCAAGGGACTATTGTGAAACTGAGGTCACGCGACATAGTCTGAACTCTTTTTAAAATATTTAAATTGTGTAACAACCGCTCGGATTGACCCTTTTAGTGCATTCAAAGCCACGCGCGCCGAGCATCCGTAAATGTAAATCCGGGGTTTTCGTCTCTTCTCCGGTGTGTTGCAAGGTCAAAGATCTCCTTTTACCGCGCGCTCCGGTGACGGCGGGGTTTCTGCAGAAGTCAGCAGCGTTGCACAGGAATCTCCCGGCAGCGGCGCACACAAAAAACGGCCAGAGCCGGTGATCTAATCTCAGCAGGCCAGCGGGCTGCGATCCAAAAGTCTCATTCTGGAGTCTGGAAATAAAATAAAAAGGCCAAGGGCGAATGGCACGCGCAAAAATTCAGAGGTCGGTGCAAATATATACATATTTATATAAGATCAAATATATTTCCTGTAACTCTGGAAATTGAGCTAAAGTATAAATGTGTGCGATTATGAATTATTGTATATGTCTATGGCTGTGTTATCGTGCCACGTGTATTTCCTAGAAAAAAAGTCTGAGAGGTTTAATTATTGCCATTTCAATGACTTTAATAAGCAAAATAGGAAACAATTTCTTCCAAAAAACAACCAAAAATAAGACAAAACAGAAACCAGCCTGAATGGAACAGTTCAAATTTAAGTGTTTTAACTATTATTTATATAAACAGGATTGAAAATTGATCCCCCCCCATCATCATCGCTAAAGTACATGAACAGGTGAAAACAAAACAACAACCGGCTGCTGCAGTTTCAGTTCGATTTCAACACAGTTGAATCAGTAACAAACCCAAAGGAAGGAGATTGTTAAAATGCGTGACTTTCCCCACGATAGTTTCAAATGCAAGCACCATGCTCATTCGATATGATCTGACAGTCTGTTAATTTAAATCATTAAAATAAAAACTTTTTTTTAAACTATGCATCTGGCCAGCAGAACCAGAATCATCAAATAATAATAATAATAAAACAGACACAATCACACACACACACACACACACACACACACACACACACACACACACACGTATTACATAACATGAACATTGCTTTCATTTTGAGAATTTGCACAACCTGAGTCCCCTTTTTTTACTGACCGGCAGAAAAAAAATATGAAGGAAAACAGAACATAACTGCTCGCGCTGTCTAAATATTGACTCTCCATGAACCCCCTGACACGTGAGTTTTCTGAAGACGGTTCAAAATAGGATGCATTCATATTAGTGAATCTTTGTTGTCGAAACGAGAGGCTTTGTTTGGGTTTGTATGTGGTTCCTGAAAGGGTTAATAGAAAGGCAGAGCAGCACTTTATATAAATTAGTGGCGCAAAAGCCACGTTGAGCATAAACCCGCATCCTGTGCGCTGAACAGTATATGCAGAAAAAAGCCCTCGCCTTTAATGCGCCTCCTCTGCAATCTGGCTCCAATAACATCGCGGCCACATGTTTGTCTCCTCAGCCTCTGCGAACACGTGTCCACATATCACTCAGCAGGTTTACACATACAGTCCCGAGTCATTTCACAATATAGCGTCATAGTATGTCTTCCTGAAGGGAGGTGTGCGCAAACTTCAAAATGAAAACTTTGCAACAACAAAAAAAAAAATCATCATCATCCAAAAGTGCACTTGACACACAAAGTTATGTTGTATTTAAATGCAACAGAGAAAACAAAAAACAAATGCACTCCTCACTCAATCATGATAAAAGATAACAACGAGAAATAAAAACAGACAACACAAAGAAAGAAAGAAGTTCAAACCAGCCTCCTCAATCTTGTGCAGTTTTTCGCGGTTGCATAATATTTACAAGCCAAAAAAAAGAAAAACACACCGTGTGTGACACTGCACCGGCAGTGCTGCTGTTCTGTCCCCGCTGCATTTCTCTAACCCCCCCCCCCTCCCCCAAAAAGCTATGGAGAAGCGCAGATCAACAACATGCTCTTAATATACACGAGAAGATGAAAGTACAAAATAGAAATTATTACCGTACATGTCCAGCATGCAGGATTAATATTTAATGCAGATTTTTTGTTTCAATATATATTCGAATATAACCAAGCAGGCAATAAATCAATGAGATGTTGCATAAAATGTC